TTCTTTACTGTACGTATAATAATAATAATCCTTATAGTTGATATAGTGCCTTTCATGTCAAGGGAATGTCTCAAAGTGCTTCGCAGCATTTATTGTAAAGTGTCGTGGTTGTGTATTTTGTACCTGAACATAACAGCTAATTTGCAAACAAATGAAGTGAATGACTAATTTTATTTTGCGGGATTGTTGACCAGAACACCAGGAGAAACTCCCTTATCTTTTCAAATAGTGCCATGAGATCTTTACTGTCCACCTAAACAGGCAGACAGGACTTCAGTTTAATGTGTTCTCTAAAGGATGGCACCTCCAACAATGTAGCGCACCCCATAACTACACTGCCGTGTTTAAACCAGGAGACCTATGGGAATTTCACTCCAGAAATAGATTGATTTGTAGCAGAGTTTCTGCAGATTTCGTACTCCTTGTTTACCAAAGGAATCTCCATTTGTGCTATTCAATGTACTTATTATGAAATTCCATTAATAAAATACCACAAATTGAGCTCTGGTATCAGAGTCTTCATGGACTGATAAATACATTGAATAGAGTGCAACTCTGATTGCTTCATTGGCATCGATGGGTAAGGGAGAGGTTGTTCCCGATATATTTCAAAAGACTCAGCGAGTCTAAACAACATTCCATGTGGTTAGGATGGGATATGGTTGAGACAGATATTCAGCCAAGCTGATTCTAGCAACCAAGAAGAAAAAAATTCACATGTACATTAAGGTTAAGACAACTAGCTCTATGTAGGTCAAGGAATTCTTCTACCAATACTAAACAGTTGTAAAGCATAAGATGATGGGAAATCTTATTTTTCACAGACCATTTGCATTAAAATTATCGATAATTTATTTATAATTTATATTGCACTATGTTGATAAAATCTGTGTTTTGCTTCAAAATAAAGGGGTCTATTTTGTGTTTTGAATGAAACCTGAGAGTTAAGTGTGGGTGGTTAGAGGAAAATAAAGGTGTGCTAAAATCGACGAAGAATGTTTGTTTCTGGCTTTGTGAGAAAAACCTTTGCAATACCCAACAACTAATAAGAAAGCAGACTTCATCCATTTTCATTTACAGGATGCGCAAAATTCAGGAAGAATTTACCTTAGGAAGGAGGTGTGCTGATACAGATGTTGAGGCACACATTCTGTGGACTGAGGTAGAGATGTTGCCTGGAACTAGACTTTGTTTCCAATGGAAGAGAAGCAATAGGTGCTTTTTCTTATAATTGTGAACTATGTTCTTCAACAGTTTAAGTGGGAGGAATTGCGAGTTGCAATGGCACTACAGCAGAGAAGTATTGCAGGAGGCGATCATGCCCAAGAAATATTTTTAGGATCAAAATCTGCCAATTCTTTAAAAGGGAATGCGATAGATATTTTAAAAAGAAGTACATTAAAAGGGTTTGGAGAGCGAACAACAGTGCAGCATTAAATTACTGTGCAACAGCTCAGTTGGTAACGCTCTCACCTCTGTGTCAAAGCTTGTGGGTTCAAGTCCCATGTTGAACTTTGATCTCAGTTTAGACTGACATCTCATTGCATTGCTAGAGGTTTCCTGCATTGTCAGAGGTGCTGTCCTTCGGTTGAGACATTAACCTGAGTTGCTGTCTGCCGTTAAAGATCCCATGACACTCTTTGAAAAGAGAAGGGAGTGTCTCTGGGTGTCCTGACCAACTTTTCCCTAAATACAATTGGTCATGCATTTCATGGTTGTTTGCTGAGATAAGTCAGCAATATTTATTGAAGTGAAGATATCCATATAATATTGCACTGAAAAGCATAATTTAAACATGAATATTAGATTATTCTCACCATCGTAAAGAAAACTAATTGTCATAAATATAAAAGTGGTTATGCAGAATATAAAACTAGTATTTGTGTTATCAAAATGTAAAGAAGTATAACTTATTGACAATTAACATGATATTATAAAGCACTTAACATGAAAGTTTATCTATCATTGTATTGCATAGGAATTCTTTGATACTTGGTTTCAATAATGCTTTCTCCTTTATATATATGATCATCTATCCTGTTATATTCTGTAACATCATGGCTAGAGTCAATTTTGAGACAAGAAAGGATTGTATTGAATCCTGAAAATCTGCAAAGGTTAAAAAAAGAACTTTTGTTCAAGGTCAGAAACAAATCCTGAAAGTAAAGCACCACTTTTTTTCTGCCTTTGCCCACTTTAATAGATGGGTGGTGGAGCTTTTTGAACCTCAAATTGTAAATCTCAAACCAGAAGTTGCAATGAAAGTAACAAAAGTGGTTTCCAAATCTAGACCCCAGTGGATTAATGCAGACACAGAGATTTAAATTGGCTCAAATTGGCAATTTTAAGTCGTTTTTAAATTACAACAATAATAATAATCCTTGAATTTAGTTCATGTCAGGAGATGAAAAGCACTATACGAAATGTATTTCACAGCATTTACTGTTTTGTGGGCAACAGTGACAGCCAATTAGTGCACAGCAAGCCATGGAGCGAAGGACCAACTTTTGGAGGATTGTTGGCCATTACTCTGGGAGAATTCTCTTTTCGAATAGTGCCTTGGGGATCTTTAACAATCACCCGAACAGGCAGATGGGGCCTTGGTTTAACATCTCATCCGAAGGATGGCATCTCCAACAATACAGCACCCCCCCCCCCCCCCCATCACCGCATTGGAGTGTCATCTTAGATTATATGAATTCCAAGTCCCAAAGTGGGCCTTGAACCCACCCCTCCTGACTCAAAGGTGAGAGTGCTACCAACTGAGCTAGGCTGCCAAACTGGCAAGAATAGGTTCAATTCAAGTCACTTTGGGATTGGAGTGCAGTTTGGCAGCCATCACTATGTTTCAATACTTAATTCTTGCAAAATAGTACTAAAATTAATGATGTCTTCTTTACTAACTGTGAATTGGTGTTGGCGAGGGAAGAGGGCAGTCTGTCCTAAAACCACATTACCATTTTTGGAAATCTTCACATCAGGTTTTCTTCCCAGTAGTTAAATCTTATATAAAATAAATTGTTCCACACTGTTTGAGCTAAGAAACAAAACAAACTGTGTTGTTTGAGGCAAGGATTTGGGCTTCCTGCGGTATACTGCAGTTTTAACTTCTCAAATGGTATGTTGGCTCTTTCACAACTCTTCACAAAAGATTGCTTGCAATTCATTGGATCATGTATATACGTCTCTTAATCCATGGTTTATTTCAATAAGTGTTTTGCTTATCTGCAGATAAATGTACTTAAGTGACTTTCTTTCACTATATTTCCTTCGTAAGGCCTTTTAGAGATTTATAAGATTTTAAATGGGATTGAGAACATAAATTCAGAACAGTACTTCCAAATTGTACTTAGACAGCAGAACAAGAGGACACAGGTTTAAAGTCACAAAGGGCAATTTGAGCACAGCTACCAGGAAGTTTTATTTACCGGAACGGTAACTGATCATTAGAACCAGTTTTTCAGGAATGGTGGTTGAGGTCAGGACACTGGAATTATTTAAAAAACACAATTTGAGAAACAGATGTATCTCTTTGACTATGCTTTTGGTTATCTTTCCCCTCCGCAACTCCCCTCAGCTCCCACCCCCAGTATGTATGCCAGCCAGCAGTTTAAGGCGCTGTTGGACGTCCTCCCGATGTGAAAGGCGCTGTAAAACATAAATTTGTATTGTATTATTCCTGGATGGGAGGATGGTAGGGTTGGTATTCTGGAAGCATGAAATCAAATGTGCTGTAGGTCCTTTTTCATCTGAATCTCTTTTGAATTCTTGTGAAACCGAGTCAAAGAAACTGCTGTGGCGTATTTTTGTGTCTTACCTCTGGTAAACTACATTAAGCTGCAAATTCACCAGCATGAGAAACAATCGGTCATATATTCTGGGATATCTTGATCTTGTCATCAATCCCGCCACTGTACAGCCCTCTGAGATCTATCCTATGTGAAGGGCGCAATATAAATGCAAATTGTTGTAAGAACTCTGAGTGGGAATTCTTTACAGTAACTAGAAGTATTTCACGTCAATTCCAGTCTAAACTCCATTCCAAAAAAACTTCACTTGAATGTTTTTTAAGAGAATAATCTTAGTTTTCCATGAATAAAGCGACAGACCTAAAATGTTACCAATGTTGATAGAGAGCAGATTCCCTGCTCAGAGTGATTATTTCAGTCATCTTGTTTCTCACTGATAAACTGTTTATAAATTGATAGTTTGGGATGACCAGAAAATTGTGTACAATTATATCCTACACTGAAAACTAAAGGCACCAGCGATAAAATCATTTTAAATAGTGATGGTTATCACTCCCCCACTCCCTTTTAAAATGGAAAGAATGACAATAATTTGTCGTTATTTTTAAACACAGATTTATTGAAAAAGAAATTTTGATTGGAGACTGTCACTCGGCTAATGTTAATCCTGCAAGCCAAAGCCTTAAGAAGTAGAGTGTGGCGATGGTGTGGCTCTCATCTCCAGGTCTTCTCTGGATCTTTCCCCTTACTCAGAGTCTGTAAAAAACTCAAATGTTTCCCAATGGAAATATTTCTGAAAGATTTATAAAAGAGGGTTTTGTTTTTACTTTCCTATCAATAGGTTAGGAAATATACAACTGGGGGTGTCTGCATCTTTAACACAATAAAAGATCTTAAATAACAGTAGCATCTGCTACAAGCTGGTGATTTGTTTTAATATATGGCCATAAAATACTTCACGAGTATCTGTCATGATGAATGGTTATCACTAAGCAGTGTACATGTTTGGTTTAGTTTAACCAAATCATTGCACTGTTGACACAAGGAAATTGGGAGTTTTAGAGTCTATCCAGAGTCCATTATACTATGTAACATGGACAGCAAACACTAAATGGCTAAACTACTGTATTTTGCTGTTAAAAAATTCTAATAAAGGACATTGTCTTATTCAAAGAAGTGATAATGTTGTATGAGTTTCAGGATTAGTGACATTTATGAAGTGGTTTTTAACATTCTGTTTCCTTGCTGTAGCTCACCACGGCCACCCTGGATGGCAAACTCCAACTCTATGTACCGTAAGGAATGAAAACCAAAAAGCACACAGTGGACTCTTGAAAACTGGACCTATAACTTGGACACAGCAGACATTGTTTACAATAGATGAAGAAGTTGAAGGGTTTTCCACAATGGAAACCAAATTATAACTGCGGTACACCGGAAACCAGAGAAGGTCGTGACAAAAGTATGTTCTTTGCTTCTTTGCAGTAAATACATCTTCTAAAAATATGCTTAGAAACCCTAGAACTACTGGATGTATTTCAGGATTTAGTGAAGAAGCTAAAATTTTATGACAGTGGATTTTACTAGGCTTTATACAGTGAATGGAATATGTAATCTATCACACAAGTACAGAATAGGCCTCAGCACAGACAGAGGCTATTTAGCCCATCGAGTCTATGCCTGCTCTCTGTCGGAGCTAACCACTTAGTATCATTTCCCTGCACTTTCTTTGTATCGCTAATATTTCTCTTGGTCAAATACTTGTCAAATTCTCTTTTAAATTTATTATGGATTGTGCTTAAACCATGTTCCCAACACCCTCTGTGTAAAAAAAAATATCCTAACCTCTCCCTTAGTTTTTTTGGTAATACTGTAATCTTCAATTGATAACCTCTTGTTCCCTGCTCACCAACTTGTGGAAATTATTTACATAGTTATGTTAGAGTGATATGGCATGGAAACAGACCATTTGACCCAATTAGTTTGTGCAGGTGTTTATACTCCACCCAACCCTAGGGTGAACACATGCCCACATTTCCGGAGACAGTCCCTGGATGAGGTAGTGTGTGCCTGGGCAAATTTGCCCTGTCTTGAGTTTAGCAACAAATTGGGCTAGAACAATAAAACAGATACGCTCAGCAGAAAAACACAACCATGAGTCCACCGAGCTTCTCCAGTGCTGCCAGCATCAGGAACTGTAGTGAGTACAATTTGTATTGTGTATCCCTGGATGACTCTGTGCTCTATATGTGCTGTAAATATGGTAACCCTAACCAACTCCCATTCCTTGCCATTCCTCCCACCTTTACCCCTATATTCCTTTCTCCCTCATTTGTGTTTCTACTCATCAAAAAAATCTTTAAATGTCAACTCTCAACCTTCTCTGTTCTAGTGAAACAGCCCCAATTTCCTCAGTCTGGATGATAACTCAAACCTCTCATCCTTGGTATTATCTCTAAAAGAATACCATGTAACTGAACTGAAGCAACTTTTCATGTTGTACAGTACAATATGTACTGAGCCAGAGCTCACAACCTATTAATCGATGAGGACAAGCAGATCTTTAAGTTGCTAGGGAAGATTTGAAGAAGAACCACATGACCACTATGTGGAAATAAATAAACCCAAATTGAAAAGCTAAATACGTGGCTAATAAGACGTTTGGAAGCAATTTCCAAGACAAACTAATCTAATAGAGATGTTCGGCTGATGCTATAAACAGTAAATGTCATTTCTTGAGTTGTTTGTAATTGGAATTTGAAACCTGAGATTAGATTACAGCCTTTTACTCACTGCTGGAATGTATTATTTGTACAGTACGTCCTGTTCATGGAATTTTATGTCCAGTTAATTTCCAGGTTTTAAAAGTTAGACTTCTTGTTTTATTTCTGAATCCAGTCATCTTACAATCTTTTCTGATATCATTACTACAGATCAATGGAAAACGATTTCCATTTTCCATCGACCTGGAGTAAATTACAGATATTCCACAAACAGTGTTCAGTTCACCAACAAAATATAGAGGATACTTAATCAATGGGTATAAAGAATGCACAATGAAGACGATTAAGATGTACATTCATCCAATTGGTACTATCTTAATATTTGTACTTACCGCTTTGATATATTGGAACCTGAGTTTCTTTGCCTACAAACTAAAATCACTACACTTTACCATATATCTTGTGAAGCACTTTGAGACATCCTCCCAACCCGAGAGCCACAAAATCAAATGCTACATAATTGTTTAATTTATCATTGTGATTATTATCCAGATATTCCATATTTACTGCCTCTCTCAATTTTACCCATCATCTGATCTGCAAATCACAAGCTCTCTATTGTGTATGTTCCTATCCCAATGCTGCCATGTCCCAATATGTTCTATTGTTCTGGAAATTATTCTGGAAGAGGCCTATTCTTGGCCCATTTTGGGTCCATATGAATTATTCAGAGATCTCAGTTCTGTTCCTTTGCCAGTATTGATACCATGTCTTATCCACACCTAGACATAAAATGTACATCTGTCTGTCACAATCCAGACAATGTTCACAATGGCAAGCTGTGTGATAATTTTACATGGTTAAATTCCAGCAATATCATAGTACAATGATCACTGTCACTCTGGGATCATGGTACAATGACTATCTGACAGTGGACACTGAGCTGGTAACCAGAAGAGCAGTCATTGAGCAATGTTTGTGTAGTGGGGGAAACACGGGATTATATTGAAACACTTGTACTTTATCTCAGATGCTTGGAATAAACAGTATTTTGCTTTCATGCATTTTGGGCATACGAGTATTGAGCTCCGTCAGAGAGAATTTGAGTTTTACACACAAATATTGCAATTGCTAATAGTCCCTTATCGAGAACACCACAGAAATGCACTGGAATTTAAATTGTTTTGTTTAACATATTGTACAACCCCATGATCTTGCTACCACTCATTCCTGTGTTTGATGTGTATGATCATACGCCAGTAATATAAACACTCTGTGTATTTTGGACTTTCTGTCTAGTATAAAACACATGGAACATATTGACCTCACAATGTCGGTGGTCTCAAAGCTTCGCTCCAACCGTGAACTACATCACAGTTGCGGTAAAGGCTTCATAACATTGATCCTAATAAGTGGCCTGCCTGCATGTTCATTTCTGTCCTCCAGTGAAACCAATTTATAATAATCTTTATAATCCTTGCATTTGATGTAGTCCCTTATCTAATCACTAAAATACATCAAATTGCTTCACAGAATTTTACTTTACAATGTAGTGATTGTGTAGGTGAACATGGCAACCACAAACCAAACCATACACAGTAACTACACTTTACGGTATAATCCGTGAAGAGCTTTGAGATGATTTTCCCACATGACAAGTGCTATACCAAATGTAAGGATTATTAGTATTTTTAATAATTTGCTCAGAACAGTATCGCACAAACAGCCTTGAAGTGAGTAGCCAAATTTTGTTGGCCATGAAACTGGGAGAAACTCTTTTCAAACAGTGCCATAGAATTTTTCTGTCCACCTGAACATGCAGATGGGTCTTCAATTTAACGTCTAATCTGAAGAATGACACCTCCAACAATGCAGAATATCCCAGCACTGGAGTTTAAGTCTAGGTATAAACTCAAAGTCCCAATGCAGTGGTTAAACCCACAAGCTTTACCTTGAGCCAGGCTGACATCTATAACAATGCATTAAACACCTCACAGAAACTATGATTTGGAATTAACAGTGCATTAATGCATGTTTAAACCAATGTTTCCATTGGCCAAACACAAAAAAAGTGAATCTTAAATACACCTTCAGAAGAGTGTTTCCTACTTTACCATGAACATTCCCTCTTTGCTAGATCAGTTATTGTTGTGCTTCTTTAGTTGGACTGACAATTGAGTGCAAAATTAGATAAAGTAGATCACTCACTTCATGGCTGTCTACAAACACATAGTGTTTACATTTTACAGTGTATCCTGTGAAGTGCTTTGAGATGTTCTCCTGCTGTGAAAGGCGCAGTATCAAAATCAAGGATTATTATTATTATTCATGGTTCACATTGGTATAGGGTGTAATGTCATCCAGTCTGGTGCACTGATACCTGACACCGGTCATCTATTCCAAATTGCCGAACTTCAGTTGTTGACAACTAAAGGTTTTCTTAACGCATCAGAAAAAAGATTTCTTTTTCAAAATTCTTCTTGTGAAAGAACAGAGGTTTGGGGCTGGACTCCAGCCACATGAATCCACAGCAGGCAACAGGCGGTTAGAGAATATTTAGACAGATGTTATAAAACTACATCCAGCTTGTATTTGCTGCTGTGTTGGATACCTTCTCTCCTGTCCGTCAGCATTTTAGCACATTTCACTCATAGGAATACCTTAATATTGCCATCATCAAATTTAAACATTTACCACCGGCACCAGAAAGACCACAATTATGTTTTGCCTGGCATGAACCTGCTGGAAAATCTCCTCTATCTTTTTAGTCAAAAGGATATTCGTCTTCCCGTTCGGCTTGTAAATTGTACATTTTTGTTGAAAGAACTAAACTGAGGTCATTGAATTGCTGTGTGTAGTGATTAATACAGTCAATCTGTTTAGAGAGCACCTTTTGTGTATTGAGATTTGTAATTTAACAGAGTCAAAACTCTGGTTTTATGAGGCTCAAACATCACGCCCATAGTGGAAGAGCTCCTTCCCCTACCTCCACTATCAGTTTTCTTGCCTCCTCTCCTGGGGGGCTGGCTTTCGTTGGGGATACCAACTGCCCCGTCACATTGACTTCATCACCATTCTTCATGCATGAGCTTATGCAGTGAGTGCTGGCAGGCTGTTTGACTGTGAAGTACACCACAATTGAACTGATCTTGTCCTCACCCAGCGTTTACACATGGAGAAAGCAATGTTTATAGAGCTTTTAATGCTGAAAGGTCTCAAAGCGCTTCGCAACTTTCTGACAAATATAGTGCCTGATTTTTGCAGGCAACTGTGACAGAGAGCTACAGTACAATATAATTCACATTTATATAGCGCCTTTCACGCTGGTAGGACATCTCAGAGTGCTTTGTTCAAAGTGAAATCCCACAGAGAGTTCCATGAGATGAACGACTAATTAATCTGGAGGATTGTTGGCCAGGACACCTGGAGCAACTCCCTTCTCTTTAAATAGTGCCATGGGCTGTGCAACTGAGGAACAGGCAGACTAGACCTAGGTTTTTAATGTTTTATCTGATGGACAGCTTCCTCCAGCAGTACACTGTGTGGACTGTGAACTCAAGTCCCAATAACGGGCTTGAATCCACAACAAGTTCAACTGCCAAGTACCTAAAACTATGCGATTAAGAGTGAGAACTCTGGTTGATATTTCCCCTCCTCAGTCCAGCAGCACTGAGAACTATTGTAGTGCCTTCACGTCATTCATGCTGAGATGAAATAAT